CCAACAGACCCCTTCACCAGAACCCCCTTCACTGACCCCTTCACCTGACCCCCTCAACAGACCCCCTTCACCAGACCCCCTTCACCTGACCCCCTTCACCAGACCCCCACAGACCTTCACCTGACCCCCTTCACTGACCCCTCCCAGACCCCTTCACAGCCCCCCTTCACTGACCCCCTTCACCAGACCCCCTCCAACAGACCCCCTTCACCAGACCCCTTCACCTGACCCCCTTCACCAGACCCCCGCCAACAGACCCCTTCACCAGACCCTCCACCGACCCCCTTCACCTGACCCCCTCCAACAGACTCCCTCCAACAGACCCCCTCCACCAGACCCCCTTCACCTGACCCCTCCACCAGACCCCCTCCAACAGACCCCCACCAGACCCCTTCACCAGACCCCTGACCCCCTCCACCAGACCCCCTCCAACAGACCCCTTCACCAGACCCCTCACCAGACTCCACCACCAGTCCCCTCACCAGACCCCTTCACCTGACCCCCTTCACCTGACCCCCTCCAACAGACCCCCTTCACCAGACCCCTCACCAGACCCCCACCAGACCTCCACAGACCCCTTCACCAGACCCCTTCACCAGACCCCCTTCACCAGACCCTTCACCAGACCCCTCCAACAGACCCCCTCCACCAGACCCCCTCCACCAGACCCCCTCCACCAGACCCCTCCAACAGACCCCTCCACCAGACCCCTCCACCAGACCCCCTTCACCAGATCCCCTCCACCAGACCCCCTCCACCAGGACCCCCTCCAACAGACCCCTCCACCAGATCCCCTCCACCAGATCCCCTCCACCAGACACCCCTCCACCAGATCCCCTACCAGATCCCCTCACCAGATTCCCTCCACCAGACCCCCTCCACCAGATCCCTCCACCAGACCCCTCCACCAGACCCCTTCACCAGACCCCCTCCACCAGACCCCCTCCACCAGACCCTCCACAGACCCCCTCCACCAGACCCCCTCCACCAGATCCCCTCCACCAGATCCCCTCCACCAGATCCCCTCCACAGACCCCCCACCCCAGACCCCCTCCACCAGACCCCTCCACCAGATCCCCTCCACCAGACCCCCTCCACCAGATCCCCTCCACCAGACCCCCTTCACCAGACCCCCTTCACCAGACCCTCAACCAGACCCCTTCACCAGACCCCCTCCACCAGACCCCTTACCAGACCCCCTCCAACAGACCCCTTAACCGACCCCTTCACCAGACCCCCTCCACCAGACCCCCTCCAACAGACCCCTCCAACAGACCCCTACATCAGACCCCCTCCAACAGCCCCTCCAACAGACCCCCTCCAACAGACCCCTTAACCAGACCCCTTCACCAGACCCCTCCAACAGACCCCCTTCACCAGACCCCCTCCAACAGACCCCTCCACCAGACCCTTCCACAGACCCCTTCACCAGACCCCTCCACCAGATTCCACCACCAGTCCCCCTTCACCAGACCCTTCACCAGACCCCTTCACCGACCCCTTCCACCAGAACCCCTCCAACAGACCCCCACCACCAGACCCCTCCACCAGACCCCTTCACCAGACCCCCCTCACCAGACTCCCTCCACCAGACCCCCTTCACCAGACCTCCCACCACCAGACCCCTTCACCAGACCCCCTCCAGTAGACCCCCTTCACCAGACCCCTTCACCAGACCCCTCCACCAGACTCCACCACCAGACCCCCTTCACCGGACACCCTTCACCTGACCCCTTCACCTGACCCCTCCAACAGACCCCTTCACCAGACCCCCTCCAACAGACCCCTTCACCAGACCCCCTTCACCTGACCCTCCAACAGACCCCCTTCACCAGACCCCCTCCAACAGACCCCTCACCAGACCCCTCCCAACAGACCCCCTCCACCAGACCCTTCACCAGACCCTTCACCAGACCCCTCCACCAGACCCCTTCACCAGACCCCCTTCACCAGACCCCTTCACCAGACCCCTTCACCAGACCCCCTCCACCAGACCCCTTCACCAGACCCCCACCACCAGACCCCCTCCACCAGACCCCTTCACCAGACCCCCTTCACCAGACCCCCTCCACCAGACCCCCTCACCAGACCCTTCACCAGACCCCCTTCACCAGACCCCCTCACCAGACCCCCTCCACCGAACCCCTTCACCAGACCCCCTTCACCAGACCCCCTCACCAGGACCCCTCCACCAGACCCCTTCACCAGACCCCCTTCACCAGACCCCCTCCACCAGACCCCACCACCAGACCCCCTTCACAGACCCCCTCACCTGACCCCCTTCACCTGACCCCTCCAACAGACCCCTTCACCAGACCCCCTTCACCTGACCCCCTTCACCAGAACCCCTCCACCAGACCCCTTCACCAGACCCCCCCACCAGACCCCTTCACCAGACCCCCTTCACCAGACCCCTTCCACCAGACCCCCTCACCAGACCCCTTCCACCAGACCCCTTCACCAGACCCCCTCTACAGACCCCTTCACAGACCCCTTCCACCAGACCCCCTCACCAGACCCTTCCACCAGACCCCCTTCACCAGACCCTTCCACCAGACCCCTTCACCAGACCCCTTCCACCAGACCCCTTCACCAGACCCCCTACCAGACCCCCTTCACCAGACCCTCACCACCAGACCCTTCACCAGACCTCCTTCACCTGACCCCTTCACCTGACCCCCTTCACTGACCCCCTCCAACAGACCCCTTCACCAGACCCCCTTCACTGACCCCCTTCACCTGACCCCTCCAACAGACCCCTTCACCAGACCCCCTTCACCTGCCCCCTTCACCAGACACCCTCCAACAGACCCTTCACCAGACCCCTTCACCTGACCCCTTCACCTGACCCACTCCAACAGACCCTCCACCAGACCCCCTCCAACAGACCCCCTCCACCAGACCCCCTTCACCTGACCCCCTCCAACAGACCCCCTTCACCAGACCCCCTTCACCTGACCCCCTTCACCTGACCCCCTCAACAGACCCCCTTCACCAGACCCCCTTCACCTGACCCCCTTCACCAGACCCCCTCCAACAGACCCCCTTCACCAGACCCCCTTCACCTGACCCCATTCACCTGACCCCCTCCAACAGACTCCCTCCAACAGACCCCCTCCACCAGACCCCCTTCACCTGAACCCCCTCCACCAGACTCCCTCCAACAGACCCCTCCACCAGACCCCCTTCACCAGGACCCCCTGACCCCTCCACCAGACCCCTCCAACAGACCCCCCTTCACCAGAACCCCTTCACCAGACACCCTCACCAGACCCCTCTCACAGACCCCCTTACCAGACCCCCCTCCACCAGACCCCTCCACCAGACCCCCTCACCAGATCCCCCTCCCACCCAGACCCCTCCACCAGACCCCCTCCACCAGATCCCCTCCACAGATCCCCTCCACCAGACCCCCTCCACCAGACCCCCTCCACCAGATCCCCTCCACCAGACCCCCCTTCACCAGATCCCCTCCACCAGACCCCCCCACCAGACCCCCTCACAGATCCCCTCCACCAGACCCCCTTCACCAGACCCCCTCCACCAGACCCACTTCACCAGACCCTCACCACCAGACCCCCTTCACCAGACCCCCTCCACCAGACCCCTTCACCAGACCCCCTCCAACAGACCCCCTTAACCAGACCCCCTTCACCCAGACCCCCTCCACCAGACCCCCTCCAACAGACCCCCTCCAACAGACCCCCTACATCAGACCCCCTCCCAACAGACCCCCTCCAACAGACCCCCTCCAACGACCCCCTTAACCAGACCCCTTCACCAGACCCCCCTCCAACAGACCCCCTTCACCAGACCCCCTCCACAACAGACCCCCTCCACCAGACCCCTTCCAACAGACCCCCTTCACCAGACCCCTCCACCAGACTCCACCACCAGTCCCCCTTCACCAGACCCCTTCACCAGACCCCTTCACCTGACCCCTTCCACCAGAACCCCTCCAACAGACCCCCTCCACCAGACCCCTTCACCAGACCCCTTCACCAGACCCCCTTCACCAGACCCCCTTCACCTGACCCCCTCCACCAGACCCCCTCCACCAGACCCCCTTCACCAGACCCCCTCCACCAGACCCCCTTCACCAGACCCTCACCACCAGACCCCCTTCACCAGACTCCCTCCACCAGACCCCCTTCACCAGACCCTCACCACCAGACCCCCTTCACCAGACCCCCTCCAGTAGACCCCCCTTCACCAGACCCCCTTCACCAGACCCCCTCCACCAGACTCCACCACCAGACCCCCTTCACCAGACCCCTTCATACCTGACCCCTCTCACCTGACCCCCTCCAACAGACCCCCTTCACCAGACCCCTCCAACAGACCCCCTTCAACCAGACCCCCTTCACCTGACCCCCCTCCAACAGACCCCCCTTCACCAGACCCCCCTCCAACAGACCCCTCCACCAGACCCCTCCAACAGACCCCCTCCACCAGACCCCCTTCACCAGACCCCTCACCCGACCCTCACCA